TTTTAATCCAATAGTTAGTTTTTAAAGATAATAATTACAAAGTAGATATTTAGACAAATCCTCTAAATTTTTTTTTAAAAGAATGACTTATCCTACATTATTCTCTTTTTAATATATACAAAATTAAAGTCATTTTTTATTACACTGCTTCAAAGGAATTGTAAATAACGAGAAATTAATTTTATCCTTTATCTAAAGATGTGAAATGGTTCCCTAAACATCTTGGATTTGGGATTTAGTCCTTGATGGACTTCTTAAACTTGGGGTATAGTTCTTCAGGTTGGTTAGGTGTTCCTGAAGGGAAGATTATATTGGTCACCCCTAAGCCAAAAGGAGTTTGAAAATAGCGAATACAACTCCTAATCAAAATAAGAAAAAGCGCTTAGAGAAGGCATTGGCATCATGAATTGAAACCTCTATAAATAGAATAGGTTCCTTTTCTTACTCATTTATTTCCATATTATATTTCCTCACTTGATTTAGAACTTATTTGCTATAATAGTTAAATTTTAGCATATTGTGGATAATGAGTAATAAAAAAAAAAAAAGATAACATGTAACAGGTGGTGAATATTAAAAAATAGAAAGTGAATAGTAGATAGTATATGGAAGATTATAATTAATATAATTATTTAGTTCTATAATAATTAACAATTGTTATTTGATATTAAATTACTAATAAAGGCATATTTAAAAGTAATTAAGTATATTTATTCTTTTTATTTTTTTCATTATTAAACTTATTAATTTTAAAAGTTATGAAGTGTCTAATTCTTCTTATAATAATAGTTTTTGAGAGCATTCCATTATTGGTTGTTACTATGAATTTGCTGCAATTATGGTTCTTTTAGGCACAATTGTTTAAGGTAATCGATATATCTATAAAGGTAATTAGGTGGAGATAATAGCAGTATTGACACTGAAAAAACAAATACTCTGTAAAAGTAAAATAAAATAATTTTTTTGAAATAACTGACCTTATCACTGAAGAAAGGTTGAGTAGGGATGACAGGACTTTCTTCACTTTCTGCATCATTAGTTGTTATCTCTGTCTTTTGGTCACTTGAAAATGAAGCAGCAAAAGCAGCCAAAACTGGGCAGTTAACAACAGTAATTTTGTTCAACCATGGAAACACAAGCCCACTATTTCCCTCATAGAAACATTTCAAGTTGGGACAAGACTCTAAAATAATAGAGTATAGGTTAGGAAACAACTCCTTAGCTCCTTCTCCTATGATCACTTGCTCCATTGCAGCACAGTTTGCAACTTTCAAATCCCAGAGTTGCGTGAGGCCCAACGCCATAGAAGTGGTTAGAAGGTATCTGAAACTGTTACAGTTACAAACTTCTAGAGATCTAAGCCTTTTGAAAGGCAAGATTTCTTGAGGTTTCTTGTTCCAAATTTCAATCAACTTAGGAAATTGAGATAACTTCAAATTCTCCAACCCACGGTATCCAACCTACAAGATGCAATAGATTAATCGCTAGTTAAACCATAAGAAAAAAACAATAGCAATTATATTAATAATAGTATGGGAAAAAAAAAAACCTCCGTCTATTTGATAAAAATTAGATTGAACAAAAACAAAACAATTCCTTAAAATTTTCAAGTCACAATTTGTGCTTATCAGAAATTTACAGCATCACCTTAGAAATTTTCAGAAAATTATGTTACAATCCCAAGACAAATAATCTATTCCAAAAATTTGATTGGAATTTAAGTTTACATTTAATATTATTGTGGTTTTTTAATTTTAGTTTTCATAAATTTTGTAACTACTAAAAATTAAAATTAAAAATAAAAAATTAATAATTTGTTCAAACTGAACACTAACAACAAAAAATATAAACCGATTTAATAAAATTAAAATTATTTTTATTTTTATTTTTTTTCATAATCATAATAATATACTTCAACAGCACATGAAAGTAAACGAGTTTTTTATTTCAAATTACAAAATTAAAAAAAAAAAAAAAAAAAAA